TTCATCCAGTGTATGCTTATGCCAAGCAATAACCCAGGAAGAAAGGGCATGAAGCTGAATCTGTGTTTAGGGGTATAACTACCTACACAGAAAAGACAGACAAAAAAGCAAGTCACTCAGTGTGTTAAGGACCATGGTGTCAGGTGAAAACATAGAGTCCTGTAGGTGCGTGTGGTAGGAGTTTGAGTAAACTACCCAGACTGGGAAAAGCCAATGGTGACATTTGAGGTGGTTCATGAAGGACTTGAAGGGATTATTCAGGCAGAGAAAATACACTCCAAGAAGATAGGATGACAAGCACACAGGCACAGGTGCGGGGAAAATCGTGGTATGTTTCATGAGTTCATGAAAACTCGCGGGGAGAGGAAGGAAGCTGGAATAGTAAGTGAAAATAATGATAGAGTTTTTATTTTTTATTATTTTTAGTTTTATTTTGAGACATGGGTCTCACCACATCACCCAGGCTAGAGTGCAGTGGTGTAATCTATGCTCACTGCGCCTTAACCTCACAAGCTCAAGCAATCCTTCTTCCTCCACATCCCCAGTGGTAGGGACTGCAGGAGCACAGAAGCATACCACACATCTGGCTAATTTTTGTATTTTTTGTACAGACGAGATTTTGCCACATTGCCCAGCCTGGAGTTTTTAAGTGTTATGCCACAGACTTGGATGTTTTCTCCTGGGCAATAGAGGAAACACTGAAGGATGTACATTTCAAAGGGGAGAGGCATGTGAGTGATAGAGAAACAGCCAGAGATGAATACTGAAATCTGTGTTTTCTGATGTGCTTGAATGTATAAGAACATGACCAGTTTAGAAATAAGTTTGGAGAGTTGAAAAATTGTCAACTAACAAAATTTACAGAGGGCAGTTGGTCCTTGTTATGACATTGAAAGAGAAAATAATTGATTATTAGGTGGCTTTATTCTTTATCACTGATTTTCAAATATTTTTAGCCTCTGAATTCTTTGCTCATGGATTCCACAGTTAAAAAAAAAAAAAAACGCAGTGATAAAGCAGGCATGGCTGTATTTGACTGGTGATGATGTGGGTATCAAAGTCCCCAGAAAACTACCCTGTGTTCTCTTTCCACGTAGCTTCTTTCTTTTCCAGGCCCAGGTGGGCCCTAGGAGAGGAGGCAGAGTATGAAAATCATTTAATATTGAGAAGTCATCTATTTGACCAAACATGCTAACAGGACTATTTTGTGTTTGAAGAAGTCTTTATGCTTTCTTTTTGAATTATTTTCACATTTTGGTTTTATTTCTTCCCTCATTAATATTTATTGAGAACATGCTATATGCCAGGCCCTAGGCTGGACACTAGAAAAACAGTGGTGATCATGGATAAGATTCCTATCACTAAGGGGTTTACGGGCTGTAGGGAAAAGGACCGTAGACAGGTATGAAGCTGCCACTGTGCAGTGTTTCAGGGGATGGGAGGGGGTGGAAGAGGAGCCCCCAAGGCATGCAGGTAATCTGGTCAAGGAGCCAGAGGGAGGGAGTTTTTAGTGAGGTGGAATGGGCAAAAGGTGGAGCTTGGATAGGTGGGGAGGTAAGGGGTTGAAAGTGAACTCCAGACTGAGTGCAGAGAGTGTGCAAAAGTCCTGTGAAGATGGTGAAAATGGTCCATTTGAGGAATTCTCAACTTGCTGGTCTAGCTGGAGAGAGCAGAGAGTAGGGGAAGATAGGAGGCTGGGGAGGTGGGAGGGAAGGGGCCATGTTGCAGTTTTGAAGGCTGAGTTAAAGCTTTCATATTTATTTGAAGTTCAGTGGGAAGCCATGAGATGACTCAAGGCAGTGCAGCATGATGTGTTTTTTTGACATGTGGCATTGTTTCTATAGCTTGAATATGACTAATATGTCAAATTTTGCATTGCATTCCAGATTCAGGGATTTTGCCTACCTAGGTTTCTGCATTACATTTGGGAAAAAGCTACTTAAATGGAAATATATAAAGTCATTACTCTGAAGGTCTCTCTTCTGTTATTTGACAATTTGATGCAAAATTAGCTGTACAATGCCTTCTTTTCTGGAATTTTTAGGAATGTAACACATTCTGGAGTTCTCCTTTAGGTTTTCATGCTTCTAAGGTCATAGTATTTCTTTTCAGAATAACTCCAGGTCAACTAAATTCAGCAATGACTGGCAAAATATCAAATGCTTTAAAAAGAGAGAGAGAGTGAGTGGAAGGTGTGCTGCTTATACGATAGCAAAATCCTACTAAAACACTAGAAGGTAGAAAGCCATTGACCTATGATAATTAACTTGAAGGGGAAAACACAGCATTAAATTAATTGCTCAGCTGGAAATTATTTAGTAATTCTCTGATTTTTAAATCCCCAGGGTTTTCTTCTTGACATAGTATGGTTAGACATCTTAAAATATAAATTTTTGAAGGCATTTCTCCTCACTTTTACTTCTAGTACTCAAATGTTCCTTAATGTGTCTAGTAACTGTAATAAACGCTTATTGAGCACTTAAGATATGGTCAGAATTAATCTAAGTCTTATATGTTCTATCTCATTTTCGCCTTACAATTGCTTCCATGAAGTCGGAGTGTTATTATTCTTTGAGGGGCTTTAGGAGAGATAACTTACTTACTCAGGAGTATACCAACAAGTAAGTGGCTGAGTAGAGGCTTAACCCAAGAAGTCCAATCAAAGCACAGTGATTAAGTACTGTAGTAACCTGCCTTGAAAGTAAATAAAAATAAACATAGAGCTGTATCTTTCATGGTAGCTAGCAAATTTCTAACATGTGCACAGAAGAAAAAAAGGACTAGTACCTTCAACTCATGTGGATCAATTCAGTGGTTCTTTGTATTGTAAGGAAAATTGTTGTCAAGGAGCAAAACTATTTATCTCAGATTAGAATTTGTTTGTGCAAGCCTATGTGACATTAAAATACAATGTGTAAAAGGCGTCCACAATTTCTCCAACAAATGCAATCTGGGTCCTACATTTGGTTACTCGATGGGATGTAGGAAATGAAAAGAAGGCATTGTAGAGCTAATATAATATTAAATTCTTTTTTTTTTTTTTTTTTTTTTTTTTTTTTTTAATTATTTTTTTTTTTTTTTTTTTTTTTTTTTTTTTTTTTTTTTTTTTGAGACGGAGTTTCGCTCTTGTTACCCAGGCTGGAGTGCAATGGCGTGATCTCGGCTCACCGCAACCTCTGCCTCCTGGGTTCAGGCAATTCTCCTGCCTCAGCCTCCTGAGTAGCTGGGATTACAGGCACGTGCCACCATGCCCAGCTAATTTTTTGTATTTTTAGTAGAGACGGGGTTTCACCATGTTGACCAGGATGGTCTCCATCTCTTGACCTCGTGATCCACCCCCGTTGGCCTCCCAAGGTGTTGGGATTACAGGCGTGAGCCACCATGCCCGGCCCTAATATTAAATTCTTAAATAATAAGAGTAGAGAGGCTGTCAGAATAATGACTTTATATATTTCCATTTAACTAGCTTTTTCTTGCACACTACTTAAGGTAATATCAGCCAAACCAAAGCTTCACTGTAAGGCATGACTTTTGACTCAGATGTCTATCAGGGAAAAGAAAGTACACAAACCTTGTGCCCTAATGCGCTAGAGTCAGACTGCCTGGCTCAAATTCTTCTTCAGTTCCTTCATAGCTTAGTTATCCTTTACAGGCTATTCAACCTTTCTGTATCTCAATCTGTTTATAAAATTAGAACAGTACCTCCCTCACTTGTTGATGAAAATCCTGTGTTCCAAAATTCATGTTCTTTCTACTCTGTCATTCTAGATAATAGAAAACAAGAAAGAACACCATAACAAGCAATAAATATGAGATAATGTGTTCTCTGTTGGGGATAGCTATCCATTTTTTTCATAAATATTGATTGAATGCCCATTATACGTCAGACTTGATTCTAAAGGATATGCTCCTTAAATGTCATGCCAACTTCTAATATTTAATTAAAGAGCAGGAAAGGGCCTGTTGTTTTTGTTGCTGTTGTTGAGTGTTGTGGAGTGTTGGATAGTGAAAAAGGTAACTGAACTAGAATATGTGACCTTGATGGCAAGCATAGACCTCCCAGGTTGCTGCCCTTGAGCAAGTCTCTTTTCTTTCCTCCTGAGTACTCAATTTCTTATCTCTAAAAAAAAGACTAGGTAACATACTGAGCCAAATATTATTCACAAATATAGGGTCAGATTTACAAATTTTTGATAGATATAGGATACAACAATGAGATATAATGGGGTAGCAAAGATGAATTATAGGAAGAGTGGGTAATACTTCTCATCAGAAACATCAAGCAAACCTACAAAAAGAGATGCTGTGGCTACAAAGACAGATTATGTTATATTCCAGACAATCTTGGGTACTGGGAAAGGATCCTGGAATTAGTCTACTGGCAACAAGGCCACCAAAAGAAGCCAGTTCCTACTTATTTCTCCCATGTCATCAAACGTGAAGCCCAGACCTCTGTCCATTTCATTAAAATTATCTTAGATTTGTCTTGCTTCTCCATGGTGCCTATGGTTTTGTCTACTAACAAACTATGACTAAGATTCTCAAGTTATGTGTTATGTGTGTTCACATAAAATAGCACACTATACCTTAAAATGTAGCCAGATATTGTATTCAGCATCATCGTTGTAATTTGTATTTACTGTATGGTATTGAAGCTAATCCTATGTATCACTTAGTATGTGAAACTCTCTAGAGAATATTTTGAGTGTTCTCATACAACTTTTTAGATGGCCCATAAATCAACAAGGACTTTCTTTCAACAAACCAGTCATTTTATCCTTTCTTGATTTCTAAACGTCTCAAACTCACATAACCCAAAGTTAGTGTTCTTTCTTTCTCCTTGAAAACTACAATCAGTATTTTTAAAACATACTGCTCCTATATAGAGAAGCAACACATATATGACAAAGACAAAAAAATAGAACTATTTCATTTCTTGTATCCAAAGAGAGTGGGACATTCTGTCATTAGGGCAGATACCTGCCAGGCTGTGCTTTCTATACTTTTGTTTTACTTATTGGAATAATGGTTTAAGTTGCAGAACCAAAGAGAACCGAGACAGGTTGGAAACTTTTCAAGGTGAGAGTGACCAATAATAAACCAGAGGAAAGAGACTGAAAGAGAAAAAGAGTCTGTGGGTGCTGACTTTTATGTGATAGTGTTGAGAAATTTTGAAGGAATGAATGGGATAATCTTAACATGTGCCACACTGTACAAGATGCTGGGACAGAGTTCAGGAAAGATTTCGAAGGTTTTCTCTGACTTAGTAATATAATTTTAATTTGTTGCCTATTATAGCTGATTTTACACTACATTTTTAGTGGTAGATTTTTTTTCTCTTTTTTTAAATTTTAAAAGAAAGTAATTACTTTTTATGGGCAAGCAGCATGCAAGCACCTTCTTCAAGTTGATCATAAACCAGAAATCTGGCAACTTCTAAATTGGAAAACTCAGGGTGGCATTAAGAGCAGATATTGCTGGAATGTTGATTCTCATAACAAAGCTCACCAATAGGCTCACTTTTCTGAAAGAAGGCAACTTTGGTGGCAAGATTCATTCTTCTGTTCATATGATGAAACCCTAACACTAATGAAACGAGTTGGGGTGTACAATGGGGAAGCACACTTACTGAAAAAGTATTTTCTTTTTCTGTTTTTCTGATCTTTGACTTGGCAATGCTAAATTTAAAAATGCTAAGCGGAAAACTATACTTGGAAAAAATAGAAGCTATTATAATAAATCAGAATACTGAAATGTTCACTGTCAACTGACCAAGGTAAAACAGCCTTTTGTTTTTACACTTTTGGGAGTGTTTATTCTTTCATTTGACTTAATTTTGTTCATGCATGATGTGTTTTCTAAAAATGGCAGAGAAGTCCCCCCCTCTCTTCTCTGTGAACACATAGAAGCCTGCGGGTCTGGCTTTTGTGGTCCTGTCACATCATCCATTAAATATGGTATTTATTTACCTCTCCAGCATCCTGTCTTTTGGAAGTTCATTGAAAGGATGAACTACATCCCCTTTTTCATTCATTTTCATTATCTTAGAGTAGCCCCTGAACCATAGCCTATCATCAAATCGCTCTTCAAGGCATAGTCATATTTGAATTGAGATCTTTCACATTATTCACTGCCATTGTAAAAATATCAGGAAATATTTCATTGATATAACAATTTTATAGGGGAAGTTAACAGATTCATCTGAAGTTTCTAGCAATATGTGAGGTTTCCTCTGGATGAGTAACGCCTTTAAACCCACTCCTAATACATTTTCTGGAAACTATTTGAAAATAATATATAATCTGTTTGTCGCAGCTTCAGATTCCCCATGTCGTCTTCTTTCCTTTCTGGTTTTGGTTATGCTTAGTCTAAAGTCACATGTGTATTTGAAAACAAAAGAACAAGGAATTCTACACCAAATTTCATCTCACCAAACCCTTGTTTTCCCCCTACTCATGTAAGTTCCTAAAATTTCTTGCTTACTCTGCATTAATGCTGAATTACAACATATAGAATGTCTCCCAGTGATTTCCAACCAAAGACATTACATATCTGTTTCCCTCTCTGTTTATTTAATAAACTCAGTAGACCCACATTGCCCTAACCAGAGTAACAGAACCATTATTAAAATTATGTAAAATTTAGAACTTCACAACATACTGATGTTCTTCACTCTCAGCAATTCTGCTGCTTAAATATTTCAAAATATATGTTGTTTTCAGTAGGTTGATATAAAAAGTTACATTGTTTCAAACTTGAAGTCATTTTAATCATTAAAAATAAATATAAACCCCTATTTTATGTTTGACTTACCCAAAATTCTTCACAATGCCCATGCGTTAATGGTAGAATTGGAGACAACTCCATATTTATGTTTTCAAATACCAGAAGACTTATTGCAAGCTATTGAAGAGCAGAATTTTACCCATTGTACATAATGACATGACAGACAATTACGATGATTTGGAGATTCATAAAAGTTGAAAGCTATATCCTAAGTATCAACAGATACTTTCTGGGCTTTTCATGGGAACGTGGGCATTGCTAATGTTTTGTCAAAAAGAAAAAATAACACTCATGAAAGAAGTTTATATGTCTAGAGAGGCAGGACAGGACAGTCTTTGGAAGGAAAAAATACTCGACCAGCAGTCTAATCTTTCATAAGAAAAAGAAGCGCCTCGAATAGGAAGGATGATTTACTTTTTATGCTATTAATATAGCCTTAATAAAGGGATTTTAATGTGAATATGCCATGATTGTTCTCGCCTGTATGGCAATAGAGTAATTTGACTACTTACAGAGTAGTCATCTAGACACATGATGATTCTTCAGTGTTATTATATAAGTAATTGCATTTTAAAGGCTATAAGCTTTATAGGGTCTTATGTCTAGCACTGAAGTTCCAAAAGGCTAAAATAAATTATAACATTCCACCTGTCACTCTGACAACCTTTAGGTTTGCATAGAATTATTTCTTGGTAAGTCCCAGACTCCATCTATTTACTTATTTCCTATGTGTCAGAAATTATGCTGCGTTCTGGATGAGGCAAAATAGTATAACACCTTCAGTAGCATGAGTCCTATCATGCATATAAGACCCACTGTGAATATATGATAACTGGATATATTTTCTTAAAATCTCTCTTCTTATGGACTGTTCCCTAACCATAATATCGACAATATTAATCACCTCTTCTAATACCACACACTTTCCTTCCTTGTTTTAATCTTATTTTTTTAGAACTTAACACTACCTAACCGTGTGTGTGTGTGTGTGTGTGTGTGTGTGTGTGTAAATTAGTTGTATTTTTTTGTATTGTTTTGCAACTTGAGGGTAAAATTAATGAGATTAGAACATTTTATCTATTTTTGTTCAGTGGTGTGTTCTCAGTACCTACAACCTAATGCAAGCTTAATAAGTATTTACAGAGTGAATGAAGACGGTATGATTAGTAGTAGGGTGAACTTTTACAGTGATGTGGTAACACAAATGGCAGCGCCCATGCTCATTGAAGTTTTTACAGGAAAACCATATTTAATCTGAGTTTTCATGGGTAAGTAGAAGCTCACCATAGGGAAAAGGCAGCATGGAGAGAGGCTATTTCAGGAAGAGAGAAGAGTATCTACAGAACATGAGGATGTATGCTGAAAAATGGCAGGCAGTTCTAGGATAGAGAATAAAGGCAACAGGTGTTAAGGGAATTTGGCAGGGGGTGGGATGGTCAGAAAGGGTCAGAGAAGAAGATTACTGAAAGAGGATCAGAAAACAGGTAGAGATTGGACTAAGAGTCTTTTATATCTTGGTTAGAAGTTTAAATTTCAGCCTTGCAGCAATGAGTAATCTTTGAAGAATTTTCTGCAAGGCAGTGGAAAGATCAGATTTGCCCTTGAAAGATCACTGTGTTGGCAGTGTGGAGGATGGATAGAAACTCGATATTTCTTGAGTAAATGAATGATTTCTCAACGTTACTTTAGACCTTACAATTTGGTGATTCTTCAAGCTTTACTACAAATATTGACAGATTGAGAAAATAAATAACTCTGAGTGATGGAGCAGCTCTAGTGAGGAAGACAAGATTGCACCCAATTTTTCAGGGCATTAAAATTGGGGAACTTTCTCTAAGCTTCTTACTATTTCTGCAACTATTCCTATCATTACGCTAATCTAGCTTACTCATTAATAATCTACTTTCTCCGAAAATCTTTAACTGTCTTAAACAGAAGCTTTCTACTTTAAAAACAAAAACAATTTTTGACTTTTTGCTGTCTGCCAAAATTGATTTGCTGCAAATCGAGTTTAGCTATGCACTTCTTATTCATTATGGAAAGTAGTTAATGCAAATTTAAATATCAGCACTCCCCACCACAGATAAAAACAAACTTACATAAAAAACAGATTGCCAGGCAGGCTTTGAGGAGTCTCTGATGTACACACATTCAGAATGATTACTTGTTCCAAATTCCCTTTCAATAACACACCTCTTATTCTCTCACCTACTCCAATACGTTGGGAATTAGGTCTTAAATGAAAAATAATTTTCTCAGATGGTTGTTTGAATGTGGTTAGCATCCTTAACCCTGAGTATAAAAGTAGTATAGGCAATTTGGTAATCTTTTTTTCAAAGCCTAATATAACGCATTTATCAAGAACAGAAATTAACTATAGATCCTCTCTAAACTGCTATTTGTATGTAAATATCAACAAGTTTTTTAAGATGTATGAATTGGCTTAATTAAAAAAAATGCTTTTGACCTAAGTCTTCAGTTATAAAATTATTTTCTCAAGGCAAAGTTTAGGTAGCAGTATAGTAGAGTGTGTATTAAGGAAGTACTGAGCTAATTTTCTTTAATTAAATAAAATTTTTCCCTGCTCAGATTATATAAATCAGCTTTGGTACCATGTGAAAAAAATTTCATTTTTCATTAATGAAATGATATTTTGTGTAAACTTTGGCATAAATTATTTACAAATTTATACTATGTTAGTAAATTCTGACCATCCCATGGAAAAGTTGAGAATATTATGCAGCCCATGGCTTGAAAAGGACATTGTATCACATTTATTCATTTTGCACATTTTTTACTGGGTGCCTCATAGATGTCAGGCAGAGAGGAGCGATGACCAGCAAGATCCCTTCTGTGACAGCACTTGCACTTCAGTAAAAAGAGGAGAAGGGCAATAAACAAATAAACAAGTAAACTGCAAGGAATATCACATAGTCAAAAGGGCTTTGCTGAAAGTAGAACTAATGAGGAAGGCTGCAGGGCTGCTCTGCAGGGCTCTTACGTGGTCAGAAAATCGTTGCAGAGAAGAAAAGACTTGAAGTTGATCTCTGATTTTCTCTTACTTCAATAAGGTGTGATTCAACAATAATAGCAACAAATCACACTAACAGTTCAAAGGTTTGCGTTGATCATTTACCACGTTTTTAAACTTCATACTGTTAACATTTTACAGTCACCCGCATCATTATTAGCAAGTGGATTTATTTTCAATCTCATTTCCTAGTAATGTGATTTAAAACTATCTTAAAAAAAGGGAATTATGGTTTCAGTAGTTAAAATTATTTTACAGGTTTGGAACATGTGAAATCAGAGAAGAGCTACAAAACCTAAGCCAGTATCAGTTCAAGCTTCCCCCACATGGTTTTACTAATACCCTTCAAATTCTGACTTCTGCCATTCCAGCCATATGTCTCTTTAAGCAGATACACTCTGTAGTGCCAAAGTGTGTCAAGGACATCACTAGGTTACCAAAATCATTTTTATGTGCAACTTCTTGCAATATTCCAAAGTACTCTTCCACCTGAACCCCACCCCAACCCCTAAAATATAATTTTAATAACACACATTAAAATGTCATGCTGATAATAAACTCAGAGATATATTACAGGGAATCTGTCTGTATTTTTTTTAACGCTTTTGGCACTAACATAATGGCGTAAGCACATGGACTCACACACATTGCCTAAATTCCTTTTATTTTATTTCTTTGCAGGTTTTGGGTACAAAGTAGTGCAAAAATTTGTAATTATATTATTCAGTGCATAAATGTTAATTTAAGAAAGAACTAGAATGCTAGGAATATGAATTTGTGTTTTCAAGATATACTAAGAGAATAGAATTGTACATATATGTGATGTGGCTTTTCAGTTTCTGCTTGCAGTTTTGTCACCATATTATCTTGTGTTGCTGCTGGGGAAAGCAACAAACAGTGGCTTTTGCCATCTCAGTGAACAGAGATCTCTGGAAATTGCACCTGTTCATTATGTGAGAAATCCTTCTGTGGGCAGAGAGGAGGGATTCAGTTTTATTCTCAAACTGTTGCCTAATTCTTATAACTTGTGCATATTTTTTTGAGTCATGATTGTACAATCTGCTACTCATTTAGGGATAAAAACACTATTGAAATTGAGCATACTAACTTTAACCGAGCTGCATTTTTTATGAATCAGGTTGTAAAGTTGACTACCACAATACAGTCATGTCCTGTACAAATTAGCACACACATACACACACACTCACACACTCGCAAACACACCAGGGAGACCATTACGTTAAACACTTGGAAACTCATTATTCTTCCAAAATAAAGAGTTAATTTTTTTTTCCCTACTGCTCTTTCCATCTTTGAAACACCATGAGTCACGGTGTTTCCCATTTAACAAACACCACGGATACTTTATTGTCTGAGAGGCTTCCATGTACTGCAGTAAATTTGAATTGGATATGTTATGTCCAAATTGACAGTAGTGATTAAGCCAAAAATAAGTGCATTTTCCTTTAAATGTTAGCTGCCGCATCAAGTAACATTCCCTACATTATGCTATACTGAAACAAGTCAGTCGGCACAGACCAAAATGTTGATGGATATACAGCAGATCAAAAAGAGGAGAATCATTTTGAAGTGCTCGCTATCTGTCTGAGACGATAGGCTTCTGAATTTGTACCTCTTTGCAAAAAGAGACTTCACATTATTTTGTCAGTTTGTTTCAATTTGAGAGGTGTTGAAAATTGGTATTCATTTTTTTTGATATAACCCTTAAATTGTACAATTTAAGAAAACTGACTGAAAGAGATAAATTAAATGGGTAGAAATATTTTCAAATCAAAGACCAACTGACATATATAAAAATGATGTATGTTTCTTACATGGTCCACAGGGAGACTTCTGCAGGCTTGCTATGATCTCTACAATTTGCTTCAGGGCAAACTAGATTCTGGGATATTCTATTATCCCTTTGGTCTGTTTATCATGGAAACTGATGTACAAATCGAGAGTTCTTTTTGGTCTCTTTATTTCTATATGGTTGGAACTAGTAAGAATTCACTTATCTCATGTCCTCACCTTCGGTAAAGTGCTACAGAAGAGTTCAGTGACCAGTAATCAATTATTATTGAGAAGCAATCAATTGCTAATTTCCATAATTATGCACATCTAAACACTATGAACAAGAAAGAGAAACAAAGCTGCACTCCCAGCATTGCCTTGTTAGCAGTATTTTGTTAACACAGGCTCTAAAAAAAGCTGCCGCAGCTGGTACCACAAATGTGTTTCCAGTATTCAGGCCATCAACGTGATTCGTCGCTAAATGTATAGAATCAGCTTCTTGCTAAAAACTACAATTACAGGTGATATACAGATTGAAATCACAGGGCTGGTTTGTCGAAGAAAATTGTCCTAATGATGGGTTTTCGGATGGGGAATGCAGCTCTTTTCTTTCTCTGTGATGGGTTGTGAAGGCAGCTGCACCTGCCTCTATGCTGTATTCTGCCGCACTTAATGATATCTGATGATATCATTAGGCAAAGTGTTCATAAACAGATGTTGAGCCTGTGCCTAAATGCTGTCAGATGAGCGGTTGCTGGCCTGAAACAGTATTATTTATATAGAACATTTACGTTTGTTATGTTAATAACCCCACTATTAGCTCTCTGGATGTTGCGTTAGGAATGTAAATGTAGTTAATATGAATAACAACCTCTTTACTCTTTGTGCTGCAGTTGAGTATAACTTTTAGGCTTTGGGAGAGAAACAAAGATACCCCCACCAAGTCCTTTTGACTTCATGATTTTTTTTTTTTGGCACCATTTGCAATTTTGATCAGAAGATAAATGGTAAGAATCCTAGGACAGATGTTAAATATTAGAATTTGATTTGCTTCATAGTTCATAATTTTGAGAGACTCTGGTATCTGTGAGTTATTTTGTGTGAGCCTAGTTTGTTACCCCAATATATCAGAGTGGTGATCATGGACACTCAATTGACAAGTATCCATTTCAACTAGAAAGTCTTAAACTGTCAGATATGAACCCATTTTTGTTCTAGCTCTTTTACTGACACCATCACATTTTTCCTCTCTAACCTATTGGGACACTAAGGTCACATGTCACAGTCATTTTCGACATATTTGTATTGGTGATTTAGGCAATACCTTGATGTCATACAATGCCTCAAAATGTCACATGACAATTACTGCGTGTGTGTTTAAGCCAAAGTTGAATTTTATGCCTCATAGTTAATTCATGCCGAGTAAGTTATGTAAATTCTGACAGTCATCAAATGCGCACTATTTCTCTGAAATACTGTTCTACTGTGATAGCAACATTATTTTTTTTGAAAGTGCCTTTGTCATTCTTTATGATTTTTTTAACTCTTTCAGAAATTTTTAGTACTGAAAAATGGCACTTGCCTGTTTTCCAGACTAGAAAAACTGTTATTTTGAATCTGAATCGTTAATGAAGAATAAAACCAAACAGTGTTAAACTGGTGCTTCATTACAACCATAATTAGAGGTTAGGGTGATTTTTGAAGTGTCAGTCTCATCTCAAAGCTTATGAAATCATTCACGTTGCTAAAAGTGGTAAAGGTGTCCATGTGTGTTGGACTGTAGGTGTTAGCAGCAAACTACAGATACATGTTTATATGTATGACTTCTCTCATTCCCTCTTATACCTAAGGATAGTCTCAATTATCTATTATTTTAAATAATTAGAATGGAATTTCAATGATGACAGTTTTTCCCATGCCTCCACTACCTGTCGTTTCAATTCTGATCTTCTAGAAAATGCTGAAAACTCCAGATTCTTTTTATATGGAGATTTACCACCAATTTTCAAAATAAGGAAATGGGAAAAGTAAATTAAGTCAGAGGGTGTTCTGTTCTATATGAATCGCTTCCTGACTACGACATTTACGTAGAGTAGAATTTTAAAAATCTGTAACTGTTTGATAAGAGAAATTTGGGTACTGGAAGGAATGAAATAACTCCTAACATCCTGAACAACACATACAAATATAAAATGTCAAAGGACTCTGAAGACGTATCAAGTTATTTAGACCTTCCAAAGTCTATTTTGACATTATTGGAAGTTGTTGAGAAGAAACGTGAGGATTGCCTTTTTATTTGTTCATCTAGTCAACACTTAGGAAAGCCAGCCAATAAAAATGTTCCTTCTGAACTTGGAAATTTAGATTGATTTGAGTGAGCAGATAAAAGGAACTGCTGAAAGCATCAACTATTGTTGAAACAAGATCAATTCATCGAAGTCTATTTTAGAGGCATGGAAGCCCACCACTATCTCCAAGAAGTCTTCACTTCCTGTCTTCAGTGTCAGTAATTCTGACCAGTTCCTTAGGATGAATGCCTATCCACGACATTTATTAATTCACTTTCATTCTTAAAGATGGAAAGTGATGCAAATCATTTTAACTTGTAATTTTCTAAAATATTTCAGCTTCTTAGGTTGAAATTGGGTGAGGGTCACTTTGCAAGTGAAGACATCTCTACTGAGGCCAGTTGGTATATTCTTTTTTAAAATATATATTTGTATTTCCCTAGATAAGTAAAAATTTTTATATAAATTGTTTGATGCATAATAAATATCTTTTGTATTGGTATGATGACATTGTTAACCTATGTGCAGGGATTGTTGCTTTTCCTGTGTCCCACAACAAACTCCAGAGTCCAAGTGTAAAGCACTAAAGCAATGAATAAATCTGAAATCAAGCAATGTGAATTTCAGCCTTAGCTAAGCAACCACTGTGTATGGCTGAACAAGTGCATTACCTTTCAGGGCCTCAATTTCTCTGCTATAATATATTCATGCTACCTTACTTGCTTGCTTCTTGAAGGATATGCATATGGATGATAAAATATTAAGACCTATAGAAGAAGAATGGTTTATGAGTCCACCATTTCAATTTAAGCTTAGTGGCAGTTAGTTAAAATATAACAGTCCTTTTTGACAACACATTAAAATAAACACTTATTACAAAATATCTCCTTGTAATAATAGCAACAATATTATCATTTTTATTATTCTGATTATTTTCTTAATTTTTTGCATATACCCCCAAAATGGAAAGAGTATATAAAAATATATTTTACCATCAAAAAAAAAAACTTTATTTTTGGATTATCTTCCCTCAGTGAAAACTACTTCAGGTCAATACGTATTCAGGCTTATAATTAGTTTAATTTTTAGCATATTTTTTAAAAGTGTATCTTTGATTCACTGATACAGCACTTTGTGCCTCCCATATGTATTCTAACTGGAATGACCAGGGATTTTTATCATTTGCCTGAGTTTCAACATCTGTAATAGTTAGAAGATTTCATGTAGAACTCTACACTCATGAATATAAGAAAAGTTTTTGCCTTTTAAAATTAAAGCTAGTATCTTCAAGACAGATCATAACTCATTTTATATCAAAGAAAAGTTGAAAACTGCCTAGAGGATGCTAATCCATTCATTATTTTATTTTATATTTTTCCAATATATGAAATAATGTGTTTTGTAGTCAGATGGCCTCAAGGAGCAAATAGGAAATATGAAATATTTAGTCAACTGTCCCTGTTCTCTTTGTGTATCTTACTGGTCTTCATTAAAATATCTGTTATAGTATGTAAATAAAGCCAGTTTGAAAGTCTGGGGCTTATATTGCACCCAGAAGCTCGTCTGGGTCTCTATGAGAGAAAGCTGGAGTTGTAAAGGAAGTAGACATGCTGCAACTGGGAAGGTTAAAAGTTTCGGAATGGATTCAGTATGCACCAATTATGCTTTTGACAATAATAAGTGCAAAATATGTGCATGAATATGAATTCCTGATTGTTATTTAGTATGTATAAGGACTACTAGTCTATTCTTACCATTTTGTGTTGGTCTTTCAGTCTAAAATAGCCATAAGCAGTCAACTAATAATAAGTATATCTTGAAGGATTATTGTGATTGATATGTTTTTGACAAGGCACATTCTTCTACTGGGTGTTTTAATATCATCAGGGAATTGTCCAGCAAATAACTATAGATCTCAAAGCTCATTTACACCTGGAAAGGAGGAGAAGGGGGAAAAGGGGAGAGAGGAAGTGAGACTACTGAATTTCTGGATATAACACCATTAATCAGATTTCACCTTCATTAAGCAAAATGCTTAAATGGACAAAATATATTTGTCATGATGAATAGAATTTGCCCTAGGTGGTCGGAGTTACCAGTTTCTTGGGTCCATTTCTTCTACAGGAATGGCTTTTTAACTTGGGGAGATATGTAATGCCTATGGTAGTGGCCCAAATTTGGGCATCTGTAATTATGTTAGCTTGCAATTAAGCTGACTTGTGGTGGGAGGATTAATGTCAGAAGATTCCCCATTTTTCAATCTTGTGTCTACATCAATAAGATCGAACTAATTGCTAATTGGCATTTAGAAAATGAACTACTCTGGTACCCTGGAGCTTTGCTGTAATATGGCATGGAATTAGGAATATGATATTTCTCTCTTCGATAACAAAGAATGGTATTTACTCCAGAAAGTCATAGATTCTCATTATAATATTTTTTATCAAAAATATAAATAAAAGGATCAGTTCACTATAGAACATATTTATTTAGAAGATGTGGATTTCCTAGAAACCAGTATCTTGTACTAAATCGTAAGAAACAGACAAAAGAATTAAGACAAAGCTTCACCCTGAATAACCTTTATTGTCCCCAACTTTCGAACAACATTCCGATTCTCTGTAGTCTGGTTTACATTTATTGCAGTATTTTTAATGCCCCCCCCCTTTTGGCAAAGAATACCCTAACATATTTAGTAATTTTTAGGTTTTTCTGATGTATTTTCCAGAGAAATATATAGTTTAGAAAACATTTGTTTAAAGAGCTTTCTTTATGTACTACTGCAATCTAAATAAATAAATATTGTTAAGAAGCTATTACCAGAAAATTGTTTTTAAGATTCATTTAATAGACTTTCAAAAAATAGATTTGCCTTCCTTTACCTTCTAGGGTCATTGAAATAAAACAATAATTTTTTTTCTTTCCTTTTCTTTTTTTTTTTTTTGAGAGGGAGTCTTGCTCTGCTGCCCAGGCTGGAGAGCAGTGGCATGATCTCAGCTCACTGTAGCCTCTGCCTCCTAGATTCCAGCAATTCTCCTGCCTCAGCCTCCTGGGTAGCTGGGATTACACCACACCCGGCTAATTTTTGTATTTTTAGTAGAGATGGGGTTTCACCATGTTGGCCAGGCTGGTCTTGAATTCTTGACCTCAGGTGACTAGCCTGCCTTGGCCTCCCAAAGTGCTGGGAATACAGGTGTGAACCACTGTGCCCAGCCTAAAACAATGATCTTTAAAATGTGGCTGTGTTCAAAACACCTAAATATTTGGAGGTTAATTTCAATCACACATGATTAGTATTTTTTAAGACTAATATTTTCCAAAATGTGGCCCACACTTTTCATGATGATCTATGGAAAAATTATCTATGGTCAAATAAGTTTGAGGAAATTTGTATGTGTTATATTTTCTACATGAAGAGCCACAATACAAATTAACATCAAGGTTGTGAGAAATCCTCAAAAATATTTCTTTGTTTAACTTAGATTTTAAAATATTTATGTAACTATGGAATATTATTTTCTTTTTGTATTAAATACTGCAGAACT